GAGAGAGAGAGAGAGAGAGAGAGAGAGAGAGAGAGAGAGAGAGAGAGAATGAGTTTGGAATGACAGGCTGAGCTAACAGGGGAAGGTCTACGTAGCCTGGTCTTACATACTGTGCCCGCTTGCTTGGAATAGAAAGATCCAAGGAGAAATGGGGATGGGGTCAAGGAAGGCTGAAGGTCCATGGGAAGCTGCGGGCTGGGGGCGGGGAGGAGTTCCGCGTCCCCTGCCAAAGCTCAGAGTAACATTTCTCAGAAAAGATCCTGGAGTCCACATGTTTCCTTTAAATATGCTTTGTGTTCTGACCTATAGTCTTCCTCTAGAGGGGAAAAAAAAAAATCTGGCTGCATCCTGAGGATCGAGATGAATTTCTCAATATCTTAGAGGCCACCTTGATCTCTATCTCCCTGTGGAACAAAGCTGCTTTCTCTTGCCTGTGTCCAAATAATTTCCTAAAACACCACACTGTGAGCGCCTCCTTGTGGAGGTCGTGGTTCCCTGAGGGGGTGGTCAGGACGGTGGGGATGGATCTCTTCATAAGCCAACTTTAGAAGAGGCTTAGAGTTTGGGGAAAAGCCCACCTCTGATGGAATTTATGAAGAGACCCTTTGAACCTCTCCGTGAAGCAGTCAGCATCATGGCTCTGTGACCTCGGAATTCTCAAACAGGTGGATCTTTCTGTGGGCCAGGACGGCATTTTCAGAAAATTTCAATTAGATGCCAGCTGAACTCCATACACTCACATCTGGATGTCGGGACATCTCTTAAAAATTCAAGAAGTCTACATTTTAATTTTTTTTAAAATGTATATACAAAAAACCATGAAGCCTGAAAATACTGACCTCCATGTCAACATGTTCTCAATCAATTGGAGCTGAATGTTGGCCCTTAGATGCCAGGATCTACCAGATTGCACAGTCCCCACTGCATCCTTGTTTTCTTGGTCTCAAAGGTGACGGTCGGTTGCCATTTATTACCATTCTTGTAGTATTGTTTCCTTGGGGCTGAATTATGAACAATTTCTCGTGCCCAATATGAAAAGTGAGGTGACATAATATAGTGAGGTCCACATCTTCTTTGTGGAAGTGAGTCTCCTTCTATATGCTTACAATGAAAGCAAAATACGGCTGTGTTTAAAGAAGACAACTCAAGTCCCCATTATGAACCAAATCTGTTCTGCTGTGCTTTATGTTAACAGCTCGACCCCCTAAATAATTTAGTACGAAGCCCTACATGTGAGGTACTCTTATTGTCAGCCATATATAGATGAACAAATAGAGGTTCAGAGAGGTTAGGTGACAGCTAAACGAATGCTATATCCAGGATTTCACCTAGGTCATTCTGGTCCAAGACTCTGCCTATCGAAGGTTGACCAGAGTGAGGTTCCCTCAAGTGACGTGAAGGTCAATATTTTCAGCAGAAGTGCCCAAATCAGGAATGCCCTGTCTACTAGCCTTTCAGAGCCCATGGGTTCCTCTGCCCTCACAACAACTTAATGTGCCTCAGTGAAAACAGAGCCTCAGAAACTGAGATGACTTCCCCAGCTCAGCCATTCTTTCCTCAAACATTTACTGAGAATGGCAGGTAGGAAAAAACCAGACAATGAATGCAGGGAGTCCCAGTCTTAAACTCTGGGTTCCTCATCCTCCTGGCTCTGTGACCTTGGACAGATGCTGAATATTGCCCTGCTCCGATTTCCCATCTGTAAGATGGGATGACACACAGCTTACCATAAGGAGTGGACATGATGAGCACGAAGGGAGAGTTTTAGGTAAAGTGAGCCTAACTCAGTGTTTGGCAGCTATGATTACTTTTGTTATTTGTAACTTTTCCCATAGATATTGCTGCTGGGTTCCTTAACCCGTCAAGAAGAGTCTTTGCCATACTGAACTGTCCTCCCAAACTGGCCATTGGGGGAAAGGGAAGGGCTCTGAGCAAGCAAGTTGAATGTCCTGTGTGTAACACCCGCCTACAGAATTACACCAAACATTTTCCCTGCAGGAACTGGCTCTCTCTGAAAAGGCGGGGCCAGGAGGAGTGTGACTAGAGCTACACAGGCACGTGTGTTGTAAAACCTTTGTCTGCATGGGCTCCTATAAAAAGAGCCTCCCCTGCCTTGCACTGCAGACGAGACAGCTGTAAGCCTGCAAGCTGGCTCTGACATCTGCGACTGCATTGGATCTGCATACTCAGACCAAGGTAAGGGCCTGGCTCTCGTAAGGGTCCATTGCCTCCGCCACGTCCAGCTCCCCTGAGGACCTCGGGTTTCTGGGGTCTGGATTCCATCAGGACACGTCAGGGCTGAGTTCCAATGCCGTGGGGGGATGAGTGGGTCTTCATCTGGTATTCATAGCCTCCTGTCTCACCTTCATTTGGAAGCCCATGTGCTTGTGATTGTCCTTTTACTCCTTTCTCAATCCTAATAGCAGGTCAGATGCCCAGGGTGGAAATGAAATTAGCGCCATTTTCTAGGCCTGCCTCTTTTTAAACAGAATTCTATATTTTCTCTTAAAATATTTTCTTTTAAAATATTTAAAATATTTTCCTTTTTAAAAGAAAATAGGAATCATCTTATCATGAATTAAAGCCAAACCAAATCCTGAGTTGTTCATGATTGCTTTTTTATTTCTTGCCAATATTTTTGAAAGGCAGAGTAAGGTGAAGACAAGAAGTGATCATTAAGGCGTGCTGTAAAAGGAACCAGAGAGATAAGTTCCGGCTGCCAGTCCCAGCTTTGCCACTTGCCAATCATGGGACCTTGAGCAATTTATTTAGCAGTCTGTGAGTCTTACTTGCCACATCTGTTACCTGAAAGAGATTTATTGTTATCTACAGACAGGGCTCTTGTGTAAATTGGTCAAGTGTGGTTTTGTTGCCCACCTGACAAAATCCATGCAGTTTAGTATAGCATTTAAGGTTACCCTATTTGTTCGGTGATTTATTTTTAAAAGCACTGATTACGGGCATTCTATATGCCTAGCAGTGTGCCACAACAGACTAAAAGCTTTGTTGGAAATTCACCCCGTCCACCCTGGTTCTCTTGGTCCTGTCAAATCGGATGACTTCCCCGCCTCCATGCCTTTCTTTAGATCCTTACTGCATCCCAAACGCCCTTCCTCACAAACCCACCCATCTCAGGGTGTACAAACCCCATGCATGTTTAGCCTTGGGTCAAGTATCGCTTTTCATGTCACTTACCATGTCCTTTCTCATAGTGTGGTCTGCGTAGAACTGTGAGATAGAAATCCAGCACACAGGAACCGGAGGAGAGTGGGCAGCCATCTCATTCAGCACCTTGATTTCCAGATAAAGAAACTGAGACCCAGAGGGGGAGAGTGAATTGCCCAAGATGAAGCTGGGGACGCAATGGGGGCAGACTTCTGGTCAATACTATTTAGAATCCCCAAAGAGCTGCCTCTGATTTTTAAAGATGTGAGGCTTTCTTATTCACCTTGATAAATTCAACAGCTAGTCTAGTGCATGGCATGTAGTAGGTCCTCCAAAAATGCTTGTTGAATGAGTGAATGACAGACTGAGTGAGTGAGCACAGGCACGAGTGAATGAGTGAGTGAGAGAGTGAGAGTTAACGAGGCTCGGAGAGTGGTGAAGGAAAGAACAGAGTAGGAAGTTTTTGACATTCAAGACTCAAGTCAAGCAGAAATGTGAATCGACAGGCAGCTTGTCGAGTAATTCAGGAACCAGAAGGATTCTTGATCTCACTCCTAAGCAGGCAGCCCTGTGTCAGGGTGGAGGGCGGGTCGATATGCAGCCCTGCACTGCTGAACTGCTGCCGGCATTGATTCACCTGCCTTTTGTCAAACAGGTTCCCACCAACCTGAAGACATGAGGATCCACAGCCTCACCCTGCTGTCCTTCCTCCTTCTGGCCGCTCAGGTGCTCTTGGTGGAGGGCAAAAAGGCAGTAAAGAATAGACGTGCCAGCAAAGCCACCACAGATAAAATGTATACTGTGGGCAAGTCCCAGGTTGAGCAGAAAAGCCAGCCACCCAAGCACGTGACCAAAGGCAAGTTTGTCACCCAAGACCAGGCCGACTGCAGATGGGTGGTGACTGAGAAGGAGGGAGGCATCGTCTTGAAGGTCGAGTGCACCCGACAGGATGACAAGTTTTCCTGTTTCTTTACCGGCAATCCAAACCCATGCCTGGAGTCGAACAAAAAGAGTGTCTATTGGAAACAAATTAGCCGAAGCCTGCGCTCGCAGAAGTCCATCTGTGGGGACGCCAAGAGCACCCTGAAGACTAGGGTGTGCAGAAAGAAGTTTCCAGAATCCAACCTCAAGCTGGTGAACTCCACTTTGATTAGGAAGAAACCCAGCCAGGAGTCAAGGGAGCCCTCTCCCAGGGAGCAGAGCACAGCCAATGAGGCCTCCCTCATGGAGCCTAACAAGGTCAAAGAGATTTCCCCCAAGGATCAGGTCATGGCTAAAGAGAACACCCTTATTGGCCCAGCAGAGTCCAAGACCAACGATCCCGAGTGTGTGGACGACCCAGACATGGCAAACCAGAAGAAAGAAGCACTGGAATACTGCGGGGAGTCCTGGGGCTCTTTCTGCAAATTCTTCATGGCCATGGTACAGAGCGATTCATGCTAAGGAGGTCAGAGGAGAACAGAGTCCACTAGGAGGTGTCCTATCAAAGCCCTTCAGTACGCTGTAAAGCTCTCCAGGTTCCCTGTAAGCTGAATACCCGTGCTACAGGAGGGCAGCGGGTTATTTAAACAGATTTTGTAATTTTTGTTACTGTGTTTTGGAATTTGCTTTATATTCATTTCCTTAGGTGTGGTTTTCAGAGGTTGTTGAGCTCAGTGTTTCCGTGGTCCACCAAGCTGTGTGCACCTGAGCAGCAGCAACCAGTCTTTGCGCTGAATGAGCCGGAGGGATGGATTCAGTGCACTGCACTTTCTGCTGGATTAACAAAAATAATAAAGCTCTGAGCATTTTTCAGAAATATGTTCAACCCCTGTTTGGTTTCTCTATGTCTAGTTCCAATGAACTCATAAACAGGTCCCCGTGTATCAGTGCAAAAAATATCTAAGGAACAACTTCCTATTCCCCATTCATCCCAAGTCATCCCATAAGGTGACCCACTCCAACCCCCTATCTTCATATTTTCATCCATTGGTCTGTACTGTTTGAGTCTAGACCTAAATGAAATGAAGAATGAAGCCAGGTGACTCTCTAAGGTAAGGGTTTCTAAACAGAGGGAGCAGTCAGTGCACATACCCTGAAATCAACTAGTAAGCTACAAGCTCCTACTATGCCAGGTATGGTTCTAAGGCAGCGGTTCTCAACCTGTGGGTCGCGACCCCTTTGGGGGTCGAA